ATATATTTATATATTTATATATACAGTATATGTATATTAGGTCTGCACAATGGTACAATATTTCATAATTTGGGCGGCTGGCTGAGTGGTTAGCGTAGTCGTCTTCCATATACAATATTTTTAGGACCATAAGGAGCAATTAAATCCTTCAGTTTTCTCAAAAATCAACAGTGAGCCTTACAATCCGGTGCAACTTAAATATTAATTCTGGTTGTGCTTACTTACTTGAACCAAAGTTATGTGGTATACGGCACTCAATAATTTGTCAAAATGTTTTACTTTTGCTCAATGCGCCTTATAATCTGGTGCACCTTATACTGTAGTCCAAAAAATATGGTGTATATGTATTAATAAAAAATATATCTATTAAAAATCAAAAAAAAAATTCATATATATATATATATATATATATATATGTGTGTGTGTATATTTATTATATTTGTTTTGGTTGTTTGTTTTTGCTGTCCCTAAACAGGCATGGCCTTTGCGCTGCTCACCTCCGTGGCTCCAATATTTGGCCTCTACACCTCCTTCTTTCCTGTTGTTCTATATATGATTTTTGGCACAGGTCGCCACGTGTCTACAGGTAAAACTTCTACCCACATCAATTTATCAGACATCATTTCACCTCAAGGATTTTTGCTTTAAAGACAGTTAATATGTCCTCTGCTGCTACTGGAATGATTTACCCTGTTAGGTACTTTTGCTGTAGTGAGTCTGATGACAGGCTCGGTTGTGGAGCAGCTAGTTCCTACTTCTCTGGAGATGAACTCGAGCTCACCTGAAGCAGCAGATTTTGAGGCCCAAAGAATTGGAGTGGCCTCAGCTGTAGCACTCCTCTCAGGAATCATTATGGTGAGATAAATTCAGAAATGTGTAGTCTAAATGTCCCAAATTGAAACTGTGTCAAACTGTATGTTGCTTTGTGAGCTTCTGATACTTACAAATATTTGTCGTTCCACAGCTCTGCATGTTTGGTCTTCAGCTGGGCTTCCTCTCCACCTATCTGTCTGAGCCCATTGTTAAAGCCTTCACCAGCGCTGCTGCCTTCCATGTAGCCATCTCACAGCTGCAAAGCATGCTGGGTCTGCGGCTTCCTCGCCACACTGGGGCCTTTTCTCTCTTCAAGGTGAGCTGCTTTATCCAGGAATGTATTATTATTATTATTTTTTTTTAGCAGAATGATTTATTTTCTCACTGTGCTGTGTGCTCAGACTTTAGCTGTAGTGATGGAGAACCTTCCTCACACCAACACGGCTGAGCTGCTCATCTCTTTGGTGTGTTTGGCCGTTCTGGTTCCTGTTAAAGAAGTGAACACACGTTATCGGCACCGCCTACGCACTCCAATCCCCGTGGAGATCCTCACAGTCAGTCAGCTGAGCTCTGAGGACAATATTTGACAAAAATTGTACCTCTCTACTCATAACTTATGGTTTTATGCTCTACCTGTCAGGTGATTATTGCTACACTTGTGACGTATGCCTCCTCACTGGACTCTTCTTACAACATTGAGATAGTCGGCCACATCCCAGCTGGGTAATCTTTGAAGTAGTTGCAAATGAGAATACTTTTGAACTAAGTCGACATATTTGACTTACATTTACCGGTTGACTCATCCTTAGATTCCCAAGCCCACAGCCACCTGCCTTCCACCTGTTTCCTGCCATTGCCGGTGACACAATCGCCATAACGTTTGTCGGATATGCTGTGTCTGTCTCACTGGCAATGATCTACGCTGATAAGCACGGGTATTCCATACATCCCAATCAGGTAAAATCCAGGACTACTGCTTGATGTAATGTCAGGTTGGATTCTCACCAAACTGTGGACATTTTGCTTTGAATCTATGATTTCAGGAGCTGCTGGCTCACGGGATCTCCAACACCGTCTCTTCCTTTTTCACTTGCTTCCCCAGCTCAGCCACTCTGGCCACCACGAACATCCTCGAGAGCGCTGGGGGATACACACAGGTAGTATGCATGGAGGAGATTTCATGAACATTCTCTGATGTTGTTGCCACAACTAATCTCTTTGTGAGCTCTGAAGCTCTAATGTTAACAGACGTGTTGCACCAAAAAAAAATTAATTAAAAATTAATTAAAAAAAATATTTGGATACTTAACCTGTCTTTGCTTCCAAAGAGTTTAAACGTTTCTTCAAGAAAAATTCCCCACCTAAAGACATTTTGGTACCACTTTACAATAAGGATACTCCTGTTAATTACAAATTTTTAGGTTATAGTGCAATTATTATTAAGGAGACTGCAGGTGCAGAGGTTAGAGAAGGTGGGCCTGTGATAGGAAGATCCCCGGTTCAACTCAATTCCCAGAACCGACAACGTCAAAAATGTTGGTGGGATAGATGAAGCACCCACACCTGACTCCACCCTTGTTTGCCCCACTCTGGGCCCTTGAGCAAGGCCCTTAACCCCATTTGAAAGTTTTTTTTTCCTTGTAACCATCATCTGCTCCCCCAGACATCCTAGATAGCAGCTCTCTGCTCCATACTGGGCTGTGGTAGCTCAGTGGTCTGTGGTTATGTCAGGAAGGACATCCGGCATAAAAATAATTGCCAAGCATTCGTGAGACAACAAATCCCAAAAAAGTTGGGACAATTCCATTTTTACTACTGTGTGGCATCCCCCCTTCTTCTTACAACACTCAACAGACGTCTGGGGACAGAGGAGATCAGTTTCTCAAGTTTAGAAATAGGAATGCTCTCCCATTCATGTCTAATGCAGGCCTCTAACTGTTCAATCATCTTGGGCCTTCTTTGTCGCACCTTCCTCTTTATGATGCGCCAAATGTTCTCTATAGGTGAAAGATCTGGACTGCAGGCTGGCCATT